CTTAATGGTAGCAACCCATGGCCCCAATTCCAAACAGCCATTAAGAGAAAAATAATTTATATAAAGAGGGACAGGGGGCCTCCTTTAGTGGTACAAGGGGTTAAGAACCAGCACTATGAAACTATCTGCAGCCACTGCAGCACGAGTTCGATCTCTGGCCAGGGATCTACCCACATGGCACAGCAGACCTCTCCTGTCTCGCCTGCTGCTCTCCTCAGGAGTGTACTTCAGTCAGTCTGCCTGTTCTGCTGCCCATTCTGCCTGTGGTGAATCCTCTCACACACACAGCCACCCCCCACCCCCGCTGCATCTCTGGCCTGCACCCCAGCTCTTGTATGCGTAAATAAATAAATCTTTAAAAAAAATAAGTGAAGGATATGGCATATTAATAAAAATGACATTAAAGTAGAAAAACCATATTCCTTTTAAATCATCAAGAAAAATTAGATCAATTATAATAGTTCAACTGTCATTGTATGGGAAAGTCTTCAGATATTACATCTACTACTTCTGTTATTATTTATGTTCACAGCTTCTGTGTAGTTGGTATGAGTTCCTAAAAGGTGTCCAGCAGAAGTCCTTCTGTAAGCACAGAAAACCAGCATAGCAGTAAGACAAAAGAAACAACATATGTCTACAATACTTCCCCAAGTCATGTCAAAATCAGCATTTCCCTAATTATATTTTACATCCCCAAATACAAACAGACACACACACACAGGCTAAGTGCCCACACACAGCCTTTAAGACCTCATTAAGAGAAAACAAATTATTCCTCCTATTTTATGAAAAAGCTTTCTTTGTAATGGATCTCTTTTTAAGCTCAATTGCAAAACACCTTAACAGATCAACTTCAATAAAGATGTAAAATGCTATTGAATGATGTGTATAGACATTGAAAAAGTTGTTAGCCTATCATTTGAATATCATAGAAAGGAATAACAAAAGACTGTGATTTTTTTTTCCCTCTCATTTGGAAGTTATTAGTAGACTTTCCTTTGTTCCATTGAGAAATGAAAAAAGAAAATATGAAGTTACAGCAAACCCATATGGCCAGCAGGAAAATCCTATTTAATTGCTTTATTGCCAGAAATGTTAAATCACTTCCTGAGGATACAGTTCAAATGAAACATATGGCAGCTATTAACAAAAACCCCTAATGAATTCAAAAATATGCTTTTTATGCAAGTTTTCTCATAAGTAACAAACATGTTGCTTAAACTATATATGCAAATATGCACTTGGTATTTTAATTCCAGAGATATTTGATGAACACTTACTCAAAATCAGACTAGATAGAGCTTGCATGTAATGTTTTTTGTTGTTTTTTTTTTCTCCAATACCAAGACTGATAGACCCAAATCTAGCCATACTTCTAAGGAGTCCAAGGTAAGAAGAATCTTCTGACCAACACCTCCCTCACAAGAGTTCGATGCCCAAGACGAACCTTTTCATTTCTACATGGATAGTCCTAATTATCTTCCTATTGTGTTTAATGCCACAGTAATGATGGTGCTAATTATTGTGATTTAGCATCTATTTTTTGAAACTATTCTTTGGCTTTCCATGTATCTTCTTTGATTCAACTGTGAATTCCACAGAGAAGGAAACTTTCTCAAGATTTTTGTAAGTAGGAGAATATGAGCCACATAATAATATGAGCCACATAGTAAATCAGCAAATAACTTTAATTGAAAAACAAACATCAAAATTTTTAAAATTCAAAGGTTTTCATTTCTGGGAAAATGAATGTATTTGATAAATTTATTCATTAACTATTTCTAAAGAGGCAGTTTTTCCTTAAATTCAAAGATAAATCAATTGAGGGATATCCAGCTGTTACAACTATGTGATTTTACTTTAAAGGAGAAGTTATAAAATTTGGGGTACATTAAAATTTGACCTTCTTGTCTCCACATTATAATCTGGTCATTGTAGTTATTTAATGAAAGTGAGACTTGGTAGCTTTAAAGAATCACACAGAACATGGTGAGGTTCTAAATTAGCATACATTGTCTACATGAAGTATTGGCATTGACTATATGAAGGCTAAAGTATTTTCACTTAGTACAATTCATTAACATTTTTGTTAAATGTTTACTTATACATGCTCTGTTATGCACTTTGTAATCAAATAAAATAAAATGTGGAAAAGGACTGATTTGAGTTTGTCTTAAATGCCCTATCTATCAGGAGAGAGCTTACTTAGATAATTTCTAAATGTGAAAAGGAGGGCCTCCCTGGTGGCGCAGCGGTTGAGCGCTGGGTTGCGAAGCTGCCCGCAGCCTCTGCGGCGCCGGTTCCATCCCTGGCTACTCCACGGCCACCGGAGGAGGATCCCACATGGCGCGCAGACCCCTCCTGCCGCCCGCTGCTCCCCTCAGCAGTGTACTTCTGTCCTTTTGCCTGCTCTGCTCCCCGCTCTGGCTCTGGTGAATTCTCTCACCCTCCCGTGCTTCTGACTGTACCCAGTGCATGTATAAACAAAACAAACAAATAAATAAATAAATAAATAAAACATGCCTCTATTTAAAAAAAAATAAAAATAAAAATAAAATAAATGTGAAAAGGATCCTGCGTAATGATTTTGTAATATAAGTCAATTGTTTTATTGTAGGACCACTCCAAAGCTTTCTCCGTCTTCATTTCTTTGAAATTGGTGTGTCTCTGGTTTGTAGTTGCTTGTTGATTTTGCTTTTTACTTTATTATAATTAGTCTTTTTCCTGGTCCCTTTTTTAGGTTTTCTAAATTCCTGCTAAAGATGGAAATTTCATATGATCCAGCAATTTCACTCCTAGGTATTTACCCAAAGGATACAGAAACATTAATTCAAAAGGGCACCCGCACCCTTTCCCCTATGTTTATAGCAGCACTGTTTACAATAGCTAAGCTATGGAAACAACCCAAATGCCCAAAAACAGATGACTGGATCAAGAAGATGTGATACATATTGACAATATCTTTTTGAGGATAAAGTGAATATGCAGAGAAGAAAATGATCGCATGATGACTTACAATTATTAGAACTAGATGATTTACAATTATTAGAACTAGATCGCATGATGATTTACAATCATCAGTGACTTTACTGATATTTCCACAGCTCTCATTTTCCTTCTTTTTTATTTTCAACTTTATTGAGTTATAATGAACAAATAAAATTGTAAGATATTGGGCCTCCCAGGTGACCTAGGGGTTAAGTCTCAGCGCTATCACCACTATGGCTTGAGTTGGATCCCTGGCAGGGGAGATAACCCATATAAGGTGCAACAGACCTCTCCTGTCTCCCCTGCTGTTCCTCTCATCAGTGCATTTCAGTAAATCTGCCTGTTTCGCTTCCCACTCTGTCGTCAGTGAATTCTCTTCCCCCTCCTCATCTCTGGCCTACACCGCAGTTCTTCTATGAAAAACTAAATAGTTTTTTTAAAAAAAAGTGTAAGATATTTAAAAAGCACAGCTGTTACATATAAACTCTTTTTAGCAGATTTCGATTACATAACAGTGTTATCAACTATATTACCATGTTTCACATTAGACCCTCAGACATTATTCGCTTTATAGCTGAAAGTTTGTACCTTTTTGCAAGCCTCTCCCTATTTTTCCAACCCTCTATCCCCTGGCAATCACTTTTCTACTCCGTTTCTGAGTTTCCTTTTTTTGTTTTTTTGTTTTTTTTTTTAAGATTTATTTATTTATTTATACAAGCACTGGGTATAGTCAGAAGTGCAGCAGGGCAAGAGAATTCACCAGAGCAAGAGTGGGGAGAAGAACAGGCAGAAGGACCGAAGTACACTGCTGAGGGGAGCAGCAGGCGCGGCAGGAGAGGTCTGCGCACCATGTGGGACCCTCGCCGGCAGCCTATGGAACAGGCTCTGCAGAGGCTGCGGGCAGCTTCGCAGCCCAGCACTCAACCGTTGTGCCACCAGGGGAGGCCCTGAGTTTCTATTTTTTAGATTTCTCATTTAAGTAACACCGTGAAATATCTGCCTTCCTGTTTTTCTTAAGATTTATTTGTTTATGCATACAAGAACTGGGGTGTAGGCCAGAGGTGCAGGGGGTGAGAGGATTCACCAGAGACAGAGTGGGGAACAGAACAAGCGGATCTACTGAAATACACTGCTGAGGGGAGCAGCAGACTAGACAGGAGAGGTCTGCGGCACCATGTGGGTCAGGTCCCCAGCCGGGGATTGAAGTAGTGCTGCAGTGGCTGCTGATAGCTTGATAGTGCTGAGACTTAAACCCTTGTGCCACCAGGGAGGCCCAATATTTGCCTTCCTTTCTGGCTTACTTCACTCAGCATAATACCCTCAAAGTCCATCCACGTTGTTGCAAAAGGCTGGGTGTCTTTCTTTCTCATGACTGAATAATATTCAACTATATATAGATACATATATAGATATATAAATATAGATATAGATACAGAGATCATATTTTCATGATCTGTTCATCCATTGCCGAACACTTAGACCGTCCCTATATTTTGGCTATTGTGAATAATGCCCCAGTGACTAGGGGAGTGCATCTATCTCTTCAAGACTCTCTCTTCATTTCCTTTGTATGTGCCCAGAAGTTGGATTGCTGTATCAGACTGTAAATTTTCAATTTTTGAGGACCCTTCGTACATACTGTTTTCCATTTTGGCTGCACCAATTTACGTTCCCACTAAGAGTGCACTAGGTACCCATTACTCCACATCCTCTCCAACACTGATATATATTGTATTAACAGCTATTCTAGAAGCTGTGAGACTATATTGCATTGTGACTTGACTTGTGTTTCTATAGTAATTAGTGATATTGAGCACCTTTTCATGTAGCTCTTGGCCATGTGTGAGTCTTCTTTGGAAAAATTTCTGATTCCTCTCCCCTCTCATTTTTCTCCTATCAGGTTCTATTTAATATTTACTCCATTTACAGCACTTTATTTTATTCCTAATGATGTTATTTGATGTTTCTTTCTAATAATTTTGCAATTTTGTGGTTTTTATTTTTTTTTACAGGCTGTTCCAGGTATTTCAGAGAAGGAAAAGGCTGGTAAGTTGACATATGGCAATTTTTTCCTCCTTTCTATTTTAGATTAAAAAAATCCATTTTCATATCATTAGATATCTAAAATGTATCACTCTCTGGGATAATATTATTGTTAATTCCTGAAAAATCAAATTTTTTTCTCAATATATTTTTAAATGTGATTTGATAACACATTACATCGTTTAGAAAAAGATGCATGCTTCTTGTAGGCTTACTTGTAGCTACAAGCATGTTTGTTTCTCGAGCAAAGCAATTATATGTTTTTCAAGCTACTAAGGAATGGTCTTTGGAAATCAGCTATTAATAAATATCAAGATTCACTTTTTAACCTTAAATAGCTTATTTAGTATTCATCGAAAAAGTTGTACTTGTTTAAAGCTGATGCTGTAACTTCAAAATACAAATGTGAAGCAATATGACTAATCAATATATCAAAGAAATTTATATTGTTCTGTTATCTGTGCTATAATTTAATCATTTAATAGTATTATGGAAAATGGATAAAGATTGATGAGAAACATGGGGATATGAAAAACTAAACTTGGATTGGTGGAATTATGTGTTTCCAAAAATATTTAGATCTTCAATATTGTCTTATATTTCCTATGTAATAATAATGTTTGCTTTTAAAAAATTAGGTTTAAAATATGCTACCAACCTGAAGCACTTGACTTGCCTTTTAGACATTTGTGATTTTTAAGGTTCATATTAAAAGTTTTATCTAAAAAAAGATGTCATGACTTCAAGTGACATCACACAAAACATTAGTTTGATGGGATTTTTATACTTTCTCATTCAGTGACCTATTGTTGTTGCTACATAGTTTTCACACATGTGTTTTCATAGTCTGTTCTTTGGTGAGCTAAGTATTCTCTAGGGATTGGGCTGTGTTTGATCTCTTCACTTTTAATATGTTGAAAGGTAACGCTTCAGAATAGAAGGAAGATGTTGAGACAGTATCATGTGTCTGTTCAAGAGAATAATTGCTCCATTTAACAATGTAGCAGTAACACATGGATTCATAGCATATATTAAAGGAATTCTAATTACATTTCTTGAGCTCCAATATCTTAAATGGATCATGTTAGCTATGCAGCTATAACAAGAAATAAATGAACACAAAATAAGTGGTTAACCGAACGTTTGTTTCACAAAGAAAAATAAACTTAGTCAAAAATCTTGCTTTATCTTAGGTTATGGCATTCTCTACAATCCCAAGATTAGCTGCAATGTAAACAAAGTATATGGCAGATCAAAGTTGTCATCCTGTTCTGGAATATCAGGAAATTCTTTTGTACCCCAAGAAAAAATTTGGGTGTGAACTGTTGGTTTTGGGGGGAAGGAAAGAAGGTGTATAAGTGCCATTGTTTAAATGAATAGAAAGGCAAAAAATTATCTTTGCCCTCTGTCACTTGAATGATTTGTTTGACAGGGAGAAGCACTTATTTTATCAAACCTCTCAAATATTTTCAAAATATTTTTATTAAAACAAAGAAATAATTAAACAGCAAGCATAAGTATAATGCAAGCACCACATTTTAGCATTATCTTAGAAAGTTTAATTCTCAAAGACAACAAAGAGTGAAATTAATTGGCACTATTTAGCAATCTCTTTGGACTTTTTCTGTACTACTGAAGAACAGATGGAGAGTTTATAAACAGTATCACAGAAATTCAATAAGATGACTTGTGAAAAGTAGGATCCACCAACTGATAAACATGACCTACCCAAGCCCTGGGCATCTGATGCCCCATCTCAATTTCTTAAGCCATAATGGACTGATTTGAGTGGAACCTGGCTTCAATGTGAAAACGTAAGAATGACTGGAATTTACTCCAGAATTAATTTTGATTTAAATTTCCTGAGAATGTTCTGGTTTGTTTAGGAAAAATATGTGTTGTTTGATAAATTGATAGAAAAGAATTTTTTTTTAAAATCAGTGAATTTACATGCCAAGATTACGAATTTATGTTTGGATATTTTATTAATAATGGTAACAGATTTGACACTTCAATAGAGAAAATGTTTTATTTCAAAAGTTTTAAGGGATCTCAGCTGTCTAAGCAACCTAGGTCTTCTATTTCTAAACTTTACTCTGCCCCATTTAAAACATCAAAAATATTTTGAGTACAAAATGTGAATCTCTTTATTCCTTTCTTTATGAATCTCTGTTTTTAAGCTCTGCTGGACAGAGGAATGACCATGAAGTCAGAGGACCCACTCAATCTTCTAGGAGTTAATTGAGCTCTTAAATAGGATTAAACTTCATACCCACCCTAAGGCCTATCATTTCTTTTTTTTTTCTGTCTTGCTAAGTGAATGTAGCCTATTGTTCCTTATTAAGAAGGTCTATTTTTAATCTGGATGACCTCTCATCCAAGCCAACTGGAACCAACTCCACCAGGCTTTGCAAAGCTCTAAACAAAATCATTTGGGGCACATTCCATTAATAATTCTTGAATTGCACTTGTGTGGCTGTCCCTGCATGTGCTTTTAAGTAGCCATTTTCTATTCTGATCCATGTTGCTTTGTAAATACAGCCTACTGGAATCAGTTCTGCTACTTCTCTCCCAGCTTAAAGTGACAAAAATCTCCAAGGGGAAACAATTTTGAAACTACCTTTGTTGTTCATTTAGTCCATAAATGCTTATTGAATAGAACACGTATTAGGCATCTTTAGGTTCTATTGAGAAACAGTTGTGAATAAGGTGGTCTGACCTAAAGGAAATCAAACTCTAATTGAGAATATTCCAGCACGCCAGAATTCTCCTTCTCCTCTCAACTGCTTTGCCCTGCTTACTCAGAAAGTTTCCCAAGACAAAGAATCAAATAAAAATGTTTTTAAGAGACTCTACTGGAATATGCATTGTTTGGATCTGAAATGGAGTCAAATCAATTTGTATTTAAAAAAAATCACAATTAATCATGCAAGTATTATAATGTACTTTTACCCAACACACGATAATCTCACATAATTTCCATTCTGCCACCAGAGTCTATAGGCCTCTAGAGAGTGGGCCCAGTGCCATTGACATCTGCTTCCTATCTGTGCGACTTAGAGCAAGTTACCTACTCTCCTCATTTCCCTCATTTATAGAGTATAAATAAAGAAGCTGCCATGTTATTATGAGACAACAATACTTGGCACAAATTAGGCCCTAAAACATGGTAGCTGGTTTTTTTTAATGATAATTAGTTGTGCTTATAACTACCATGTATACCAGCCAAATAGAAGCTAGATGTGTTACTGTTGCCCACGTCTGCTCCAAGTGTTCTTAAATGCTTCCTCAGGGCACCAATTAACAGCCAAGCAGCTGTCCATGTGCAAGAAAGAGATCACTTTTTTCATAAGCCTTTGAGTAAATTAATTTAGACAGAGGTTATCACACAGTATAGATGGAGTTGGTTTCATTTTAACCTAACATTAGATATCCTTATCTCTATTAAACTGAAATTCTCTCTTGGGCCTCCCCTGGTGGTGCAGCGGTTGAGTGCTGGCCTGGGAAGCTGCCCGCAGCCTTTGCAGTGCCACTTCGATCCCTGGCCATCAGCAGAGTGTCCCACATGGCGCTACAGACCTCTCCTGCCACGCCTGCTGCTCCCCTCAGCAGTATATTTCGTCAGTTTGCCTGTTCTGTTCCCCACTCTGGCTCTGGTGAATTCTCTCACTGTCCTGCACTTCTGACTGTATCCAGTGCTTACATAAATAAATAAATAAATAAATAAATAAATCTTAAAATAAATAAATAAATAAATAAATAAACAAACTGAAATTCTCTCTTATAAATAACCTTTGATTTTCACAAAAGGTTAGTCCCTGAGAAATGTATACCCTGTGATCCATTTTGCGATGACTATATTATCCTCCTGGATACATAGTCCCTGGGGTAATTGAATCCTGTCTACCCAGCAACCACCCTGCCCCACCTAACATCCTGCATGTAGTCCTGTCCACACCACCTTCTAATCATCCCTTGTCTGTTCTCCCTGCTATTGCTGTAATGCAGTCTTTGGCTTTCCACTAGACTTTTACAACAGCTTCCAGAACTGGTTTCCTTACTTAATTTATCATTAGATCAGCCACTCTCTACACAGTCACTAGAGTTATCTTTGAAAAACATGACTCGATCATAGCAATTCAGGTTTACATTTTTTTTTTTCCTATCCATAGGGTATGGTCAATCTTTCCTCCTTGGTGTACTTGACCAACTGTAATCTGGATGCAGTATAAGCTATTTACTGTAGATGCCAATCTTGCCCCTCCTCCCCGACAACCACCCTTCACCCTTCTTTGCCAAAGCACTGTGCCCTGGAAGCTGACCTCTGTGGGAAAAATCAATGAGTTTCCCACCTTTCTATCTTCCTCATTCCAGCAATAAGGGCCCCCCAGCAGGAGGCTGAGGGTGGAGGAGGCAATGGACTGTGAGGTTGGGTAGTACATCCTGCTCCCATCTGCCTCCCTGGGAGCAATGCTGGCTTTGCTCAGGTGGCCCTTTCCACTCAAATATTCCAGTTTTAACAACCATTCTTTTTTCTTGCTCTTGTAGTTTCCTTGCATATTTATCAATCATTCTATTACTAAACTCACCTTACAAATGTAAGGTGTACCCAATGTGCCATCTGTTTCCTACGAGGAATCTCACCAATATACCTACTGATATGTTCTTCTCTGCTTATTCCTTTGTGTTTGTATGCTTATCCAACTTCAGCCACCACATAAAACCACAGAACCACTTCTAACTATCTATACCTCTGTCTAGATCATGCAACTATCTTTAAATTATATATACATGAAAGGGAGAAATAGTAAAATGGCCTATTCAGGGGGAAAAATATGAGCCATGATTTTCTCCCTCTTAAATGAAAATACTTTCATTGCATAAGAAAGAACAATATTTACCTTTATGAACTAGACTGTGTTCTCTATTACAGAGAAGCATTTGACTTTGAAAATTAACATTCTATTTTAGTCACTAAAATGTGATTCTGAGAGTATATTTGA